TAACATTGAATTTTTATTAAAAAAAAATTTTTATTGAGCATGAATAAGATTTACACATATATATATATATATACAGAAGATTGTATTTATTTGATGTTTTGATCTATAATACTTCGACAGAAATTACATCGTTGCTGTAGAAGTGCTAAACAATAAAAAATTCTGATCGGAAAAAAGAATGTTGCACAACATAGACCCAAACATGTAAACTCAGTATCTAACATGTCAAGCTGCAAGCGTACTCAATGATGAAAATAATTACAAGAAAAAAAAATAATATGTCAACTTTGCGAGCTGAACATCCACCAAGGATGATTACTGTAAGTTGTTGAGAACTCTTTATATAAGAATATGGTGAAGTATTTCTTATTATAGATCAAGTTACAAAAGTTCCATAGCCTAATGAATATGTCTTTATTTAATATAAACGAAGGATAATAATTTACCTTGATTTATAATTTTATATTAATTTATGCTTCAATACGCCTGTATGTGTATTATGCACATTCAAATTCTGATTGGTTAGCAGCAGACATTGGAAAATGATTTTGTCCTTTTGAATTCAATAATTCGAGACTTTTTTGTCAACATAGAAATATTATTATCAAGACATGTCTAATAAAAAATGAAGATTATTTTATAATATATTTTTTTGAAAAAATGACCATTGAGCAGCTGATTGAGTGTCATCAATTGGTATTTCCTGGCAGTTGATGCATTCAGTTATCATCAAACGACGCAAAACTAACTTGCTAACATAAAAAAAAGAAACCTTCGTAAATTAGAAACACTTCTATACTATCTATGCTATATGATATTAACATTAATTGATTATTTGAGAAATAACTTATTTATTGATTTATTTAGATTAACTACTTAATCATTTTAAAAAAAAAATTATCAGAAAAAATTTTATTAAAGAATCTTCAAATTTTGCACTCCAAAGCAATATTTTATCTATAAACGGCACAATCGTGAAGCCTAAGTAGGCTCGAGCTCACCTTATATTGAATAGATAAGAGTTTAAAAAGACTCTATCTAATGTAGAAATTTTTTATTATTGCTTGATTTTTATTTTTTTCTGACAGATGACGCACTAATACAAAGTAAGTACATATTTTATTTACTACAATTTCGTGTCCAATAAGCATAGGAGGTCAAGCTATAATACTTGGTTAGGCCTAAGTCTTTTCTCGGATTAATGCTTCGTAGACTAGAATAGACTCAAACACTTTCTTTCTTACCATCAGATTGATAGATTTGAGCAAGACATCACATTTTATGTAATCCAAACGCCAATTTTTATTGGTGCAGCAAATTTAGAAAATATTTTTGCGAAAACAATGAATTTTGTATAAGTAAATATTGGATAATACATCAATAATGACTAGAAGTGAGAGTCTTTCATTACAAATGAAAAAGACTTGTACGAAAAAGTTTGAACCAGATTAACTAGAATCTGCTAAAAAATTTTCTTGACCTTTGATAACTAAAATTACGTGCCTAATACACATTTTCAACAATACAGGATCTTACCATGTAGGATCTTTTTTTTTTGCTGAAATATTTCTGCTGCGCTATTAAACTTGTTTCGAGTAAAGCAGATTAAAATCTCTTCGTTCGAAAGTCGCATTTCGATGAACATAAACCTTCGCATTTTTCTTCAAATGCACGGGTTTTTTATGCAAGTTGCGCGTTCTTTCTCATCTGCACCACTATAATACTGTCAATATGCTTTTCGTCGAAAGTCATATCGCTAAAATTCAGCGATGTGACTATCAGCAATGTCTGTTTTCGGCGGTCTTCATTTCAATGATCAAACTTATCAGCGACATGCTGAGATAATACTTGCAGTATATATATATATGAACATATATCATCAGTATTCAAAAAGAGTGTAAACGTAAGAAATGATTGTCAAAACGAAACTCACAAACATAGTCGATTGAACGACATTTGGTCGGCTTCATTTCGATGATGTTCATGCCAATGAGTTACACAATCTTGTAACACGTTACAAAGAGTGAGTTCGATTAAAGAAATACTAATTGTATTTCATCGAAGTGACATTCAAAAATTCGTCTTCTCTCATTTTTCACTTCCAAATAAGGATCTTATAAAAAACATTGAACTTACCCTTGAATCAAAACATTTCATCTTCTAAGATTGTATCTAAAACTTAGCTCTACTAACGCCATTTGATATTATCATCCATATTTTTTCAAAGTTACTCTATGATCGAATTTAATATAAAATCATGTTTTCAAACGTTAAATACGAAAATTATTACATAAGAATAATTTTCTATTGAAAAATCTGTCCAAAAAATTATAGAAATGTAATGTATGATTTTAAAATTAGACGTTCGAATAAATTTTCGTATTATATGTATTATCTCTTTGTTAGATAATCTATTGAACATATTAAATAATTCGATAATAAGTATGATAAAAGCTCGTTCAGTGGCAATAATTGGTGGCGGAATCGGTGGTTTGACTGTTGCTAATGCTTTAAAACGAATAGGAATGTCGGTCGCATTGTATGAACGTGCACCTTATTTTATTCCAACAGCTGGAGCAGCATTTGGTCTTCAACCGAATGGACAGGCATCGCTTGCACATATTGGTTTCAAAGATCAAATCGAAAAAACTCTTCATCCTTTTATGAAATGGAATATTATTAATGACAATTGTGAAATAGTAGCTACATCCGACAAACTAAGTGAATTGGGAAAACGATATGGTTATTTTATGGGTGGCACTATTCGTTCTGAACTTGTTGATATTTTAAAAGAGCCTTTAGAAAAGGATGGTGTTTTATATTATTCTCATAATGTGATTAATATTAAACAAGATAATGATGGTGTTACAATTTCATTTGAAAATGAAAAACAACAAAAACCAATTCGAGTTGATATGGTTATTGGTGCTGATGGAATACATTCAACAGTTGTTAAACAAATTTTTACTCAAACAGCTCCATCAATATACTCAAAAGAAAATATTTTCTTTGGTATGATAGATAATATCGATCAACATACATCGATTAATCCAATAATAACAGCAAAAAATACATTCGTACAATATTTTGGTCGTGGACAAGCTATGACTTGTCGGGCTGGTAATGAAGGACAATATATGTGGGCTGTTACTTATCCATCAGTTACACCTCCATCAACAAGTGATGATGCTGAATGGACAAAAATGAATAATCAACGTGAATTAGACCATTATTTAAGCAGATTTCCTCAATCACATTTTATTCATCAATGTGTAGCAGCAACAGATAAACAACGTTTACTTCATTTTGGATTATATTATCGTCAACATCGTAATGATGGTTGGCATCGTAATCGAATTTGTTTATTAGGAGATGCATGTCATGCAACATTACCTTATGTTGGACAAGGAGCAAATATGGCAATTGAAGATGCTATATCACTTGCAATGTGTTTAGAAAAATATAATTTTCAAATGGAACCAGCATTTCAAGAATATTATAAAAAACGTTTTAATCGAACAAAACGTATTGTAGATATGTCACGTTATATGGGTTTACTTTATCATTCACAAAACCCGATTATTCATTCAATAAGACAGCGTATGCTACCATGGTTCATAACCTCTGATATGATGACGAAAAGGTTCGAAAAAGAATTGTTTGAAAATTGTCCTATTCCTCTAAAATAGAAGAATATCGTTAAATCGATGACTTTAAATAAACCTCTACACCTTTTTTTTTTCTTGTATTTTTATTTTAACCAAACTAAAAATATAAACCTACATCAGAAAACTATGTTCAAAACTAAGTACATATTGTCATAAAGACGATGTACATGAGGTAAAATTTTTAATAAATAATTAGAAAAAACCGTTTGCCTGGCTAATGATATTACTATGATTGTAAACCATAAATTGTATACGTATTAGAATTATATAATTGATATTATTGTATCTTATGTTTGCATTTCGCAACAGCGATTCGAAAGAGTTGGACTAAATCCAGCACATGGATCGATTTTTGAGCGAAATTTGACATTTTTTTTTTAATTAATTTTTTTGTTTAAGATAGTGAGGAAAACTTGATCAATTGCGAATGTTCAAATATAACTGGAAAGAACATATATACACACATTCACACACTCGTATTAAGCTTTTTTCTAGTATTATCTAGAGTCACTGGTGAACTCAATATGAGCTTAGATGGTGAATTACAGTTGAGGTAGTTTCCTCGTAAGTAGAATGTCGTCAAGATTATCATGAATATAGTGAAACGAACAATTTATGTTTTATTCTGACTACTCATACAATACTCTAAACAGTTATTTATAAGACAACTTTATACAGATACTTATAGCCACTAGAAAACATATTACAAAATTGTTCCACTGTGACTATTTTGATATGTACATTTGAATAGTTTATTGGTTTTTTTTGAAAATATTAGTTCCATGAAAATTGTCTTATCAAGACGGTGCAATACTTGAAATAATTATTATCAACTTCTTCATTAGTAATCAAATTATTTTATAGTTTATTGATTTATTCATGAAAACTTCGAGTAATATCTGTTACATATCTCGGTCATTACCTGTAGTGTATCTCTAGAGTTTATAATATTGCATAGCCAGTATTTCAATTGACTAATGACTTAGTCCATTTTAAGCATTGATGAGAAGACGAACTATTGTCATCTAAAGATTGAATTGTGATGATATATAACTCTGAAATAATATATAGAAGAAATAAGTTGCTTTTAGACGAATTATTTATTCTAAATCGAAGGATGTTATATTCAATTGAAGTGATTATAATGATAAAATTTTATCGTCAATACTACAAATAACAACTGAAAAGAATAATCAGAATGAATTGAACATGCCTGTTGACTTTATTTCTTTTACACGAAAGCCATCTACACTATCGAAAGTACTGAGTTTTGGATCTCTGTTTACTAAGATAACTCTAGCAGGAAACGCGAAAAGACTATTTTGCTATTAGTATGTGAAAAGTATTTAGTTAGATATCCTATCGAAAATTGTCTCAGTAAATGTTACTTGAAAGCATCCGTCAAAGTACTTGACTGGTATCTAATAAGTGTTCTGTATCCTGCATCAAAAAATATTTCGACAGGTTACATAATTGAGCAGTCATAACTATCTCACCTTCAAATAGTCATGCACTCGAAAGTATCAATGACATAAAAATAAAAGGGCACTAATTCAGATATTCTAAACCAACGAGAGAACCTCTCCAGGTGCGAAATCGCTTCTCAATCGAGATAATATTCATTTGATGAATATTAGTGAGTAATAGAAAAGTCTAGAATATTTTGCCTTTCTAGTCCTTTGCTCTTGAGATATCAACATTTCCCTGAGTTTCTTAACAAGAAAAAGCTGTGGTCTTCCTCAACTCACGTGAATAATTGACTTTCTAGTTTTCACTCCAAATTTTGCACGAACAAAGTTCTCACTGCTAATAGCTCATTGGGTGTAGGCGTTAGTGTGGGTACGGCATGTGGATATCTACATGTCAGTATGGGTGTGGTTATAGAGTGAACACATATCCACACTCACACACCTACACCCTAAAATGTAATTCATGTGATTCTCAATTAAAATGATTCTTATTTAGAGTTCGATATATTCAATATCGTTTGATCATACAATTAAAAAATATATACATGCATTAAATAGCTAATATGATATTTTTGTTACCCTTCAAATAATTAAAAAAAAAACGACTAGTTTTATAAACATGATCTCAGTATTTGACGAAAAATTAAAAAAATTGTCTTTGATGGTGTTGATGAACTTTGTTTAAGAAGTGTATTGTTAATATTTATTGACCATTATGAAGCCGAAGAAGTAAATGAAGGGTAAATTCTTTTTGAAAACTGTAGTCTTGAAGTGTTGGATCATCTTCTAATTGTTTACCGACAAAAATTAAAGGATAGGGTGTGGGTATGATTGTAGATGTATGAGTATAGAACAACTATACCCACACCCCAAAATTTTTGTTCGTTATATATTTTTCTGCAGTTATGCTTTTTGATCCGATTTATAGTTGATAGTCGATACTGGAAAAAAAGTAGAAAAATGAAACTGACTGTTGCTCACTGAAAGTGGTATCTGTTGACAAGCGCTATTTGATCATTTCTCTGGAGTTCATATGTTCATCAATCACTGATTTCCTTATTTTTTTTGCACTGACTTGTATAGTATAGGAAAACTAAATTTAGTTCATGGAGATGAAGATTTGCTAAGTCCTGATTTCTTCCAATTTTCTGTTCTTTTGCTACTTTCCTCTCACTTTCAAAGGCGAGATGAGTTAATTTCTTTATGAAGCCTTGCAAGACTCTCTCTCTTTATGAATCAGTATTTTTTTTTCTAAATAATTATAATACTTTGATAGAACTTCTAAATGAGATTTCATTTTAAAGATCAAATATCGATATGTAACAACATATATGTACTATAGCGTTAAACTTATCGATCTGAATACATGATATTTTAATCTCTTTGATTCCAGATAGTGTGAGATACACAAATTTTATCGAACAATAATGAAATAAATTGATTATTCAAAGAAAAACAAGTAATAATTCTTCCTCAATATTTTGAGTAGAATCTCTTAACTAATGATCAGTTTTTCTAAGTTTTTTATTAAAATGAATATTAATATGAAAAATAAATTGACATTAAGATAAACAAATGTCAATATATGTTTACATATAGAAAATATATTTGAATATGTTTTCAGACAATTTTCATTTATTTGGAAAAAAGAATTTTTTCAAAAACAAAATCTTTTTCATTTAAAGGGTCAGTGGCGGATCCAGGATTTTAGCGAGGGAACGGCGGTTTCAAGATGATGCATTCCGAGGTAGCATGAATTATTATCGAAGCGAATTAAGTACTGTGCTCTGTTCCTTGCCTTTCTTGGTATTGTTTATGTACAATAAATTTAGAACTAACGACTTTTATTTGAAAAAAGTCCAACAAGAACATTTAAAAAATTAAACGACGATTAGATTTTGCAAATTCATCAATGATAGAATCAACGTTTATATTTATATCTCGATGAATGTACATCATAGCTAGACCGTTAACTCATGTTTCTGACATTGTCGGGCGCAAACACGTTTTCAATAACTTTAGGACAGAAAATGTTCGTTCTGTAGTTGCTGTTGATACTGGTAAAGTTGCAAATATTTTCAATAAAATTTTTATATTTGGATAAAATGCTTCAGTACATTGAACATAAGCATCAATTGCTGTATCTGGTAAAGCTATTTGTTCTTTACGTTTCATGGAAGGTGATGGTGAATCGGAGTTGTTTTCTTTGTCCATTTGCAGCCATCTTTTTTCCATAATAAAAATTCCGATCTAGTCTCAGATATTGAATTAGGGCATGGGTGTGGGTGTTAGAGGATGGAATACAAATACTCAAACCCACACTCACACCCACACTACTGCGACAAGAATTTAACATTACATAACTTTGTCTTTCAAAGTTATCTAACAGATTAAATTACAGAATTGACTTTGTTGTTAAAGCCATCTAATGATTCCTTTACACGATATAATTGACCAACAGTGGTACTTAATTGCAACAACTTGAGCACGTGCGAAACGAATATTTTGTACAGTAAATAATCCAATGATCACCGTTAATATAGACGATGAAAAACTGAATGATGCAAAGAAAATAAAATCATAAAACACTCGATATAATCTCATTTTTACATAATAATAAGAATCCGATTTCGGCATTTTTTAATGAAGCATATTGAGTGATTGAACTATGCAATGTAAAGTATAACCATTCATGATGAGTCACGCGTTATAATAAATAAATCTTCGTGTAATTCAGCATAAGAGCATCTACAATTTGTATATATACTTGAATTATAAAAGAAAAAAGTACGTCTTATCACAATAGTGCAAACGAGGACGATGAGAGTGTGCACTCTGGTATATTGACTGTAGATGTTTTTTTCGTTCTTATCAAGGACGGCGAGGAATAGAAAAAAAGAAAGAACTCAATATACATCATCCATTCGCTTCCCAAAAGTACGAAAAGGTGTGTATGACTCAACATAGTCTTTCGTTCTCAAACGTACTTTAAATTTTAACGTATTACGAACAAGAAAAAGCTTGTCTGTCATCAATTTATATAAAGAAACGCAATTTTTTCATTTTAACGTTATTTTCTGCATCGGTGTCACTAAAGCAAAAAAAAAATGTTAGCTTTATCCATAATTCTACTTCTCGTATTTATTGGTCTTACAACCTATTACCTTTTTCTACTGCGGCAACGTTATCAATACTTTACTCGGCGCAATATTCCCACGCCACCTTTCCGTTTTTTCTTTGGTCATTTTAAAACGTTGTGGAATGCTGCATCCTTTCACCGTCAGCTTGAAAGTTGGACAAAACAATATGGCAAGATATATGGAATTTATCAAGGATCTGTACCAACCTTTGTTGTTAGCGATCCTGATTTTCTTCAAGAAGTTTTCATCAAGCAATTTTTCACCTTTCATGCGCGTAGGAGCGTTTTCGCAGGTAATAGAACTCAAAACGTCTTTAGTGCATCAGGTCCAAAATGGCGTCGGCATCGTCACGTGATAAATCCAACATTCACTGCAGCCAAACTAAAAATGATGAGTCCTCTTATAAATGGATGTATCAGTAATGTAATGGAAAAGTTAACCGATCATGTAACAAATGGCAGTGAATTCAATATCTACTTATACTATAAGCGAATGACAATGGACGTTATATGTAAGTATACTATCCTCGGGTATTCTTTTCCTCCAAGACAAAAGTAAAGGATGATTAAGATTCCTTTGTAGTCTATGAATTTTGGATTTCTTTTTCTGCCATGAAATTATGTCATAGACATGCCAAAAATGCTCTTAAGTATATCCAGATATGTTTCCAACACAGAAAAAATGAAAATTTTGTAAGATAAAAAGACCTTTTGATTGCTATTATTTCTAATATTCATTTAGGTCGATGTGCATTTGGAATCGACACTGATTTACAAAACAATCCAAACAATATATATTTCAAGAAAGTGGAGGAGTTCTTTACTCGTAACATTAGGTCGAATAGATTTTTCAGATTTGCTCAACTTGTGCCTGAGTTAGAGAATATCATTGGTAAAATCTTTTTTGGCATCAACGCCGTACGAGCCTTCATCAATATGCGTCTTCTACCCTTGATATCAGAGAAACAATTGCCTGAACTACCAGGTATGTGGCTCCTCAATCGACTACATCCAATTATCGAGCAGCGACAGCAGACGCCTACCTCACGCGTCGATCTTTTGCAATTAATGTTACAAGTGATGGCTGAAGAGCCAATTAATGTAAGTAAAATCTATCAACTTTTAAAAAGTATCTTCCTGAGATCTTGTATGGTTGAATTGGTTCACGATACTTTTGATGAGTAACTACTTTGTACCTTCGTAAAGGAAATTTTGGATAGGACATCTTTATGGTACAAATTGCTTTAAAAGACGAAAAATAGTTATTCTAAGAACGATTGAAGTACCACACAGTTGCTATAACACTCAGTATTAAAAATATTGCATTCGGACTTGGCATATAAAATTGAGTACAATGAAATGTACGAAAGCATTTCCTTCATTGTTAAAACTTTAGAATGACAGAAGAAACTATAATAAAACTTTTATTACGACCTCTAAGAAAAATTACTATTAAAAATAAAAAAATTTCGATTTTACTAGAGAGATTGAAGATAGTTATATGTCCATTATAAATACATTTCTCTTCTAGGATGAAATGCAGGACAGCAGCAAGGCAAACTATCAGCTAACTCGAGAAGAAATTATCAGCAACATCCTTATCTTCATGGTGGCAGGATATGAAACAACATCAACTGCTTTGGCTTATGCAACGTATGAACTGGCTAGACATCCAGAAGTTCTCCAGAAACTTCAGACTGAAATCGACCAACTTCCACTGAGCAATGGTGATAGATCCGACGAAGAAACAAAAGAATATCCCGATTATGACGTAGTTGCGCAGATGCCTTATATGGACATGTTTGTTTCTGAGGTCTTAAGAATGTATCCCATTGCAAATGTAGCCGTTCAGCGAAGTGCCTTCGAAGATACGATCATCCAAGGAATTAAAATTGAAAAAGGTAACGATATATTTTTATGGTACGAAACACTCCGATCTTTTTCTAAGTCATCAGAGAATCCATAAGAATTGTATTATAATCTACAAAGTTTTTCTTTTGGAATTCTTACATGTATTATAAAAAAGAACTTTTATTGATTTATGACAGTTATATATGAAATTATGAGCATATCTGCGTAAGGGGAAGCTAAACTGAGAAGACCAGTTACGTTTGTTCTTTTGCACCGACTTAATAATAATGTTTATCAGAAAAATAGCTTCTCAAATTACCTGTCTTTTATCTTTTCCAGGTACCTTAGTGCATGCTGATGTCTATTCAGTTCATTATGATCGCGATCTTTGGGGTCCTGAAGATCCGTACGTTTTCTTTCCCGAACGTCATGAAACAAAACGTCACCCGATGGCTTATCTACCGTTTGGAGCGGGACCACGACATTGTATTGGCATGCGCTTTGCATTAATTGAGATGAAGATACTACTAGTGCGAGTGCTTCGCGAGTATTCGATTCTGCCTGGTGAGCATCTCGAAGGCAAATTTAACATCCGTGAACGGGCAGTCATTGCACCAGACGAAGTTTGGGTCAAACTAGTGAAAAGAAGTGATTGAGAGACAATCATACAATACTTGTAAATCTGAAACTTTACTTTTCTTTTAGTCTTTAAATAAATATGAAAGGAACATTGAAAATACCTCTAGAAAGCTCTATTCTGAAACTATTTATAATGTTTTTTTTAATCTTTTGTCTCGTCTCCGTAAGTAACTATTATTTTTCTTAAATGTTAAACAAATTGAATTAAGTACTATGTGCAAAAACGATCAAGAGACAAAGATTATTCTAATAGAAAGAATAACTAGGGTATGGGTGTGGATGTGAATGGGTGTGAATCAGGACTGGCATATCTTAATTTTCAAATGGGGTACTCTTGGGGTACATTTGCTTTTATAGTGTGGTACGTCATTGAGGTACATAGGTTTTTATTGAAATAGAAGGGTTAATGTGGAAACACTGTTAAAAGAAACTGCTTTTCTATAAAACAACATAATATTCAACTTTTGTATTTTAGAAATCAATTTCATTGTTGATTTTTCAACACAATAAAATACTCTCAGTTTAATCATAACTTTTAGAAACAAATCTAAGTACTATAAAAATAAACGATATAACGTTTTTCATTAAGGCATAATAAATATTGAAATCAACTATAGTACTTTGGCGTCGAATTCAAGGTGAAAACTTTTTTTTCAGTTTTGATGTTTTTTACTTTTTCGTATTTTTCTATAAGTAAGAAACATAAAACAGTTGATGTATATTGTGAGTATGGTTATAGAGAGACCGCTACCAGCTACAATTAACATTATTTCAAAGAGTAACAGCTGTTAATAAATATAAATAATTATTCCTATAATGCACACGTTCGCATAAAAGTCTTTTCCTTTTTACCTTTTTATGATGTCATACCTTGATTCAAATCTATTGCGGAATAGAGATATAACATGCGAGTTTTATTTCAGTATGGTGTACAGATGACACTGTAATAAAACTCTCATGTCATATCTCTACTCGGTAATAAATTTGAATTCAAGTATGGCAGCATAAACAGATAAGGGGGGAAAGACTTTTGTCCGGAGATGTATAAATGTCTCTTATCTCATCTGGTTTTGTTTATTCCTCTGGTAAGCGTTTATTATAGTTTCACAGTTCTATAATATACTTATACAGCGTAGCTATTATTTGCCAACAGAAATTTATTTAATCATTCTAATTGGCTTGGTTATGAAAAAAATGAACCTTAGTTCTGACACTGGTGCTCGTAATCCCAGCCATAGTGGTTTTTGCTTTGGTACTAATAGCAGACGGAAAGAGGCAAAACAATGATTACACATGCTCGCTAATGCTACGATATTTTAATTAACCGTTATCCTTTGTTAGAAGGATCTACAAATCATAGAATGAATGCAAACAAATAGGAAGTAGTAGATGAAAAAGAATACAAAGAAGGTAAAGATGATGAGAGTAATACGGATACATAATATGACATTGAATAATCCTCTAATAAACAGAAATCTTTCAAATAATACTTCTGGACTTAGAGACTAGGGATTTTTAACCACTTAAGACATCATTTTTCCAGATAGTTCAGTCATGGTCTGCATGGAATAAATACGTTTTAATACCTGATAAAACTTATGTCACTCTTTTTTTGCACATATACTATTGTTTATTCTCTATATACAGTCAGTTTGATGCACACCCACACCCATACCCTAGTTTGCTGAGAGATCAGAAATAGCATTTCTACGAGAAAGAGCTGAGCGAGTTCGCAGACAAGCGTTACTTATTATTATACTATTATATAGTTCCCAGTATCCCCTAGCAAACATTTGAGTTTGGTTGTAAAACAACAAAAATCATTGCAAGAGAAGGGATTAAAAGAAAACCCCTTACCTTGCAGTTGACGCTAAAGTACTATAATAATCATTGGTCGATTCTTCACCAGTATTGCGTATTATGAATGTTTCTACAGAGACATGACAAGTATTATTAAAAAAATATATAATTCATTTCAATTCATAGACGAATTTATGACAGTAGAAATTCAAAAATATAAATGGGGTACAAACAGTATACCCCGAGGATACAACTTTTTTTCGGGATACAAAATGGCAAAATAGGGTACGTATGGCAGCCCTGGTGTGAATGTCGTCTTGTATTCACCTGCACCCACACCCTCGATTTTCGAACGTACAGTAAACATCGCATCACATTCTCAACTGTCGGATCATCCGCACTTGTATGTTTTTCGAAAACATATTGCAGATGCATAGAACCAATGGTGATTTTTAAGTATTGACTTCGATTATATTTTTAAATTTCTTTGTTAATTTGTTTCGACATTGACTTAGATTTCAATTCAATTCTCAACTAATACAGATTTGTGACTGGATTTATGGCCTTTTTCGATCAATGAATAATTTAAAAAAACCAAAGCTTTAAGCTTTACATTCTTGTCTCAACTTCTATCGACTAGCTAACAACAAGTGATTTATAACAATATTTGTTGTCCGAGCTTTGTTCCATTCATTCTCGATAATCATTCTTCTACAGTCACAGATTGAACCATCATATGTTGAATCAAAATCACAAATTTTCTAATCAACATTTACTTAAAAATTGCATGTAGTTTTTTCTATATTATTTTTATCATGGACATTCTACGACAATAGTTCAAGTAGTGTTTCTTTATATCTACGTTCGATATTTTTAATATTCAATTATATAATATTGTCTTATTTCAATATCAAGAGAATCTAGATCTGACAGATTCATGTTACTCTTGTCATTCTCTGGTGACATATGTCATAGATGCATAGTCTGATATTGATTGAATCGAAGAAAGTAACAGCTGTCAATTACAAAGAAAAAGAGACAATAGCTATAATGGAAGTGTCTCTCAAACACATAGATACAATGGTCGAAGAAAAAAAAAAGAAAAATGAAATATTTATACGAATCGTTAACTAATACATTCACTTTCAAATAGTAAAATTGTTCATTCGAGTGTTTTTTTCTGGTATAAAAAAAATGAGACTCTAACACATATTGTGATTCATACAAAGAAAGATTGACTTTCACAATAAGCAAAAATATCGAAAGAAAAAGCTCAGTAAAAGTAGAATGAAGTTGGATACTGAAAAATAAATCAAAGAGAGAAGAACATTTACAAGGCTGAATCTTTTTTTTTTATCGAGACTGTAACATATAGTTATGTTTAACTACCATTCTTCGCATTTTTCTTTTTCTTTCTTATTTTTCATTTCATTTGCTGCACGGCAATCAAGGGCCAGAACGCATATTATATCGTACAAGTATGGCACAAAAAAAAGTTTTGTTTGTGCTCACGTCTCACGATAAACTGCTCAATGGGCATCCAACCGGATGGTATTTACCTGAAGTTTGTAGATATTCTCTCGATCAATTTTATTTCTCTTGCAAATCTATACCTAGGCTGCTCATCCATACTATGCACTTGAACCTTATTTTAAAATTGATTGGGCTAGTCCTAGGGGTGGCAAAGCACCATTAGATCCTTCTTCGATTGATAAATCGAAGAACGATTCTATCTGTGTTCAATTCCTTGCCGATGAACAGGCAAAACAAGGAGGATATGAGAAAACAAAAAAACTAAGTGAAGTCAATCCAAATGATTATGTCGCTGTATTTTATGTGGGTGGTCATGGACCCTGTTTTGATTTGCCAGAAGATGAAGTCAATATTAAATTGGCAGAAGCCATTTGGAATCAAGGTAAAATTCTATCGGCAATCTGTCATGGTCCTGTAGCTCTCGGTACGTAAGTGATCACAAAAAATACATTGTTTGTTAACTTCGTATAGACGTGTTTAAGTTGGAGTCAAAGATGCCGATGGTAAATCAATTTTTACTGGTCGACGAGCAACATCATTTAGTAACGAGGAAGAAGCACAAGTCAAAACGACTGATGCTATTCCATTTCTTGTTGAAACTCGTCTGAGAGAACTTGGAGCGAAGTTTGAGAAGAATAGCACAGCTTTTGGTTCCCATGTCACTGTTGATGGACAACGTGAGTCAAATAAAGTCCATTGACATCCTATTTTTACATTGTTTTCTTTTTGCTAGTCATTCTTGGTGCCAATCCAGCATCAGTCACTGAATTTAGTGAAAAATTGTGCGACGCAATTAACAAACTATAAAGAACCGAATACAAATGAAAATGCTATGAAAAGAAAAAGATCAATATTGATATATCTAGAGCAGACATTCTCTCCTCTACTATTTTCTCTAACAAATCGAAAGAATAAAGAAGAAGAAGTTGAACAATTTGTGTTTTATGTATTGTACCTTACTTCACAATGCCAGACTCAATTGCATCCGTGTAAGATCCATTTGAGTACACTTTCGCATTAGAGTATCGCTTGAGATGATGCACGGATATTTCTTGATTTCAGCTGCGAAACACTAACATCATGAAGTTACCTTTGTCTACAGTCATTCAGTCTCTTCAATGGAGAATCGTTCTACATGATTATTTCCATAGTTGACAACATGAATTTTACTCTCTCAATCGAATGACCAACTAGCTATCATATTCAATAAATGAGCTTAAATAAGAGAGAACATCGGATTAATGAGACAAGAAGAAATGATATAGTAATAATGAAATAAGGAACTATGTAATGGTAATTTCCGTTACCCATAGTTGTTCAACCATTCTCTACATCTTGTTGTTTTTTTTCCCAAATTAGATGTGTATTTATAAAGAGCTTATCAGCAAAAAAACCAAACCGATGTCTTTCAACTTGTTTGCTTAGACTTTCACATGAGTTCTCTTTATTGGAAGGAATTGGGAAATATCTTCAAAGGGATGTGACCAAAAGTCATTGTCTCTCCTCGGTATTCAATGGAATTAATGTCTTGATTTACGTTACCATCAATGAACAACTGAAGAAAAATTGACATACATTTCATCAACTTTGCTCTATTGTCAATAGTATTCAGATATTTACTGATTCGCATGTATACGCAGAATTTATCAATGATATGAAAGTGAAAATAAAATGACTTCTTGTATCTATTTCTCTCGGTCAATATGTGGTACCACCATTCCTTCACAATCTACAACGAATCCATTCGATTTATGTTTTCTATAGAGAAGAAAAATCTACCATGAATATTTGCTAGCGATTCCTCCAAAATGAAACCATTTTTTATACTAAGATTTCGATTATCTGTAATTCGTCGTATAGTGTAATATATCATTTACCGTCTCTTGTCACTTATGAACATCTTCAAAATAAATATTCGAATACTCTCAATTGTCTCTACTGGAAAATTACATAAAGCTACTCATTATTCATCATTCTTCGCCCTTTATTTCATCCAGTATGTTCAAGTGCGTTTATTACTGATATTTGGTTCAGTCAATTACAATACACTAATCCTAACTATCGAGAACTACCGAGCAATGATTGGTGCCTTGCATCACTTGGTTATTTTCAAGCTTTAGCTGCACTATGCCAGCTATATAATTGATTTGTGAATGAGAGCATTCATTTGATTCGACTATAAGCAATCTCCTTAATTTGCCGTTGCATGGCCTTCGATTGTTAGTTAACACAAAAAAAAACTAGAAAAAAACACCTAGTGTTGGATTCTTTACGAAACCCAAAACTCTGTTTACGAAAAATAATAAAGTTTATAGAACATAAATTTCATATTATTTTTTAAGTTTTCCTTTGTTCAAAATTCCTTCAATAAATGTTTTCGAGCTAAAATATGTTTACAAAATTGTTTAAAAAATAATAATTAGCATTCATTCTTAAGTTCAGCAACGCAAAAATTTACTGATATATTAAAACACTCGTCAGTAACTGCAGAACTCAAAAACCATAAAAGATTAAGAAAGGAAAGAAGATAGCGGAATATGTATTAATGGGTTATACTCGTAATTAATTTCGCTAGTAAAGTCATCATCTAAAAACGTTTGAAATTCGGCAGCAAATCAGAAAAATCGAAAAAATATTCAAATTTCAGAAATTTTCCTGAGTTTTGAGGAGATCGGACAGTCCTGATTTCAACTGTAAATTTGAGTGAACATGAGTTCGTTTTTATTGAGAAAACACTAGCCACGCAAAGGTAGAGAAGAGAGACAGGAGCACAGATCAAGAGAACACACACGAACATATATGTATACATATAGGGTGATGCATAGAAGAGAAAGCAAAAATTCAATGACATATATGTGGAAACATAAAGAAAAAAACCAAGATATGAAATGATGTAGTTCGTAGGGAAAATGTCTATGTGTGTTGCACAGATACATATTTGAAGAATCTTCAACAATGCATGTTTTTTTTACGTTATTAGTACTTTGTTGGGTCAAAAAAAAGTTTTGACCTATCAATAAAAATCTTCTCCATTGGTCTAAAAATCCTGGTTAAACCACTGTACTGTATTCCTTTAAGACTTTTTTTAATCCGGCGTTCCCTTCGGTATGGCAACCATGTGCACACAAAGCATTTGATCACTTGAGAACCTTTCCACGTGAGTTGCGAAACATTTAAAACAACTGCATTTTTAAGCTGCGATCAATATAATCTTTTATAGAATTATCTTGAATGTTACAGAGCTCCAGTGAAGCTGAAATCAACATACCACATAGTTAGGGTTGAATATGAAGAGGTATTTAAAGGTGTTGTGCGATATTTTTATGTGGCCAAGAAGCACATCGATACCATCCATGTAAACATTAACTAAGGAGACAGATCAGATGTTGACTTGTCTCTCCATGGTTTTCAAATTTGAGGGACAAGCTGTATGCATCAAAGAACTGCACCTACAGTGGCTAAAGAATTTTCTGCAGTACCGTGTACGCTCATTCATAAAAAATGCATAATGCTTGTCAATTTGTTTCACTTAGTTGCACCAAAATTTACGTGCACAAAATACAACAACTTCGAACAACTGATTTTAAGTGGTAAATCGGCATTTGAATTGTTATACGCTGTTTTCAACTTCTTCTGGGTGTGAACGAGTGAATTGAATATACACACCTACACACACATCTCGCACTCACACCCTAATAATATTTATTATCGAAAAGGGTAGATTTGGGTGCAGCTGTGTGGATGTGGATGCATATAGTATGGATGGGCGTTATGATTCTTATTCAAGGTCACAGGCATCAACATCTACATCAACCCCACACCCATACCCTTTCCCACTTTTTCCCATTCCCTATCGTCTACTTGTCTCATAAATTATTTTACTGCTGTTCTCTACAGTGCTTGTAAAAAGATTACTTGTTTGATAAGAATTAAAAAATAAGGTAAGTGAAAACAGATAGGAACGAAAGATAACTGGTTACCACAACACAAAACTACTAAATGAATTATTAGATAAAAAAGAATAACTCGACGGTGTAAGACACAACAAAATTTTTTATCAACAGCAACTCGTCATTCAAATTACGAAGAACATTGCGACTTTAATAACTTAAAGTTTAGTGAGTAAATTATATGGAAGATTCGAAAAGCAAACGAAACCATTTTGAATGTTATATGCTTAGTACTAGTGGTGGCGCCAAGGGAGGCTGAGCTCCTCGAAATTTTTTTAGGTTTTACAGAGAATAGATAATCTTTCGTGGTAACATTACAACAAACCGTTTTCTGAAGTGCAGAGATTCTCGTGCAATTTTGTAATATTTGTTCACTGCAACCATGTTAAAATCTTTCTTCTTGCGATTAGATTGCAATCTCTAGAAACGTATCCTGGCAAAAGAGAGACAATAGAGCTCTTTTTTCTTTCTTCTAACAAAAAAACTACGTCATAATGAATAACAAATAGAATTGAATATGATCATTTCATCTTCATCATTATCTAAATTTCAAAGCCATCCTTCTCTTTCTTCGTCCTCTGATAATGAAGCTAGATGTGATCTTATTTCTGATACTTTATCATTTTCTCTCACGGGCTCTATTATTTTGAATGAAAGTTTTGAAACAAAATCTGTTTCAAATGATGTCATTATACATACAATGTGTAATGATTGTCCTATTCAACAAAAATTAATAACTTATGCGATGTAAAACCAAAAATGTTCATTCCAATCAAGCTGGTATAACAACAGAATATGGTTAGATATACACCAAATCCTGGGTATCTAACACAATGATTGTAGATTTTCAGTATGAGAATCTTTCTAATCCAATCAAATATTTGTGTCCACTACAACCTGTTCTATTCTCTCTATTCTATATTGGTATCAGGTTTCGTCAAATTTTTAAAAATAATTCTAAACTTTAGTAGGATTTGGTGAAAATTACGAAAAGATCACAGCTTTCATCAAATCTCACCAAATATTAGAACTTTCTTAAAGTTTGATGAAATCTAATACAAATATTAAACAGTATGAATAAAATCAATGATCATCGATACAGAGATTCAATTGGATTGGAGAGATTTTCATACCGAAAATCTACACTCTTGGTACTAGATACGCAAGATTTGGTGTAGCATACATGAATATGATTGGAATATTCTGCACAAAATGGCGTATGCTATTATTATCATCATCATTTTTCTTCTAATAAATAAAATATCGGTAATGTTTATAACATTTCAGATTTTACTCACAATTTTTTACTATTCATGTGATCTAGTGCATAAGACACGATGGCCACAGCATCAAATGGAAATGACATAGGACATTTATCATTGTTAGATGATATAAGACTACACGAAGATGATTTGACTGTGAAAGCCAAGAATCGTTTCGTCTATCATACTGATATCTTGCATACCTTTGAGGCGCACCGACGCACCATACTTCAAAATGATCAAGCGACACGCGTTGGTCGACATAAACTTTTGTCTGATTTGGGTCGATTACTCACAACGTGCAAACGAGTTCTCAATTATATGGCAGAAAACAGCGAACTTCTTAGTCGTCCCTTGCCAGCCGTCGGTCCACTGGTTATCTGTGGTCTTCCTCGCACTGGCACGACGTTACTCTATAATTTGATGGCCTGTGATGGTAATTGTCGTGCTCCCTCGATAACCGATATAGCTGCGGAAGGTATTTCACTCGTCCAACAATTGGATTCGGCAGAATACGAGAAACAAGCATCTTCAGTGGCGATAGATGCGCAGCAGTCGAATAAGGTTTTCGGCAAAGGCAATGAAATAGCAGCATCTCACGCGCTCTTTCCAGTCGAAGAAGATCAATTCATCTTGTATCATGCAGGCTTAAATGTATTTTACCTAACAATTATGACTGATGACCAGTCACAACCAGAGAAATGGATCATCAATATAATGAATAAAGACTTCGCATACGACTATCATGAAACATTTTTGCGCATGTTGAATTCTTTTGATGAACCTCGCTCGCATTGGCTCTTAAAAACGCCTATACATAGTCTTTATCTTGACACGTTCCTGCATCATTATCCTCATGCAGCGATGATTATGATTCATCGTCGTCTCGACGAAGTGGTACCGTCGTTTTGCAGTTTGATGAGGTGTGCCATGAATTTGTACTTTGACAAATCGGTCTGGGCGAGCACAGATGTATACACGAAACGATGTATTCAAATGATCGATAAAATGGTAGAATGCATTGTGGAGTTTCATAATCGACCGCGACAACTAATTGACCAATCACGCGAGAACGTTTATCATTTGCTCTACGATGATCTGATGGAGAAACCGATCGATACAGTGCACCAGATTTATGATCACTTCGGTTTGTCTTGGTCGGAGGAATTCGAAGCGAAAATGAAAGAGTGGATTCGAGAAAATCCTCAAGGAAAACAAGGTCGTCATACCTACAGTCTAGCTGAGGTGGGTCTCACACGTGAAGATATCGAGACGCGTTACAATGACTATATAAAACTATTTCTTCCTCAATCGTCTTCAAATATTGTCGACAAGGATCAGCATTCTTTGAATAATACAGAAGTTGCAACTGCCTAGTCGATAACACTATTGAGACAATATTGCTCTTTTTAATGTAAACTTTTTCACTATCGAATTTTCTTGCGAACAGCATATGAACACAGAAAAATCGGTCCCGTACTCACGGTTGCGTTCTATTGTTATCCATGAATTGTGAGTTCCTCTAAGAATGACGTTTAGTTATACAAATTGAACGCTATATTTTCCACGCTTCTCATGCTATACATCAGAAGACTGGGTGTGAGTGTGAGTGTATGGGTGTGGATGTGTGGTTGTGGGCGTCTGGGGAAAGTAGACTTATACCCACACCCACACCCTCGAGAGCAGGCATTGTTGTGTGACTATAGTACTGACGAGTGCATTACTAAGCGGACGACAATTCCGTGTGATATCTACTAGTGATACAACGATCGGTGCAATGTGCGCTATGCCCGCAGTTTTTTTGATAGTGTTGTATTATGGTGTATTATGTCAAAGCAAATGAATATTTTTCAAACCTATTAAAAATGGCAAAGTTCAGTGCTTCTCAGTGCCTTCTGTACTAGCCATATAGCCAAAATTGATCTCCACCATGTGATAAATTATTATTATCAGATGACGCTACAAAAATTCTTACTAGTAAAATATATTCTGAAACTGTTCTTTTCTCGATTAATTTGAATTCTTTCTAATAGATAATTCGAATTAGGATAGAAAGCACTGCAATATTTTATAGCTGAAACTGAAAGTCGTAAGCGGTACCACCGGTAAATGAATAATATACCGTACTGATTCCTAGAAGTACCGCGGTATACCAGCAGTAGTGCGAATAAACGTTCGACATGGGTATTAACATCCGCTGAAAACCAGATGAGAGAATGAATGCTTGAAATTATAGACTAAGTTATATACGTGACCGACAATGATTTTATAGTAGTGATAGGTCATATCATTTCCTATAAGTTTTTTCTTGATTTTTAAATATGTGCACAATCAGTATAGAATTTATATTTTTCTAAAAACGAATTTAAATAGGAAACCAAATGGAATTTGTTATTTTTAGAAAGTGAATTTTATTTTCAAGAATTTAGCAATGTTTTCAGCTATTTAAAAAGTTCGAAAATACTTCTACTATTTTAATGTCGATTTTCTATAAAATAGAATTTATTCGTAGGTTACACTGACACGATATCATCAATATTTTCAAGAATATTAAACATTTCTTTTATTTGTTAAATATTTATTTCAAAGATTATCAACATGTTTAAATGGTTTATCTTTAAAAAGATTATCTTACATATAGTTTTAGTAATCTTAATTCAACTTTAGCTTCTCATTACGACTATTACTTCTCTAATGGTGTCAAAAAACTCTATTTATTTTTTTTACTTTTAATTATTAGGTTCGGTTTTCTTCTATTAATTAATCTATGAAAGGGAGATACTATTAAGAAAAAAGAGAATACTATTTTTAGCATGATATCTTTTTATTCTTGTTATGATCAACAAAAAATTTAGAATATTTTTACTATTAATAAATATTCTAAATATGATAAGACCAATATAAAGTAAATGTTTAGTTGATACAATTATTTGAAACTAATCTATGCAAAGCTGTTTACAATGCAAGGTAATTCAATTATTAGTGATTATTTCAGTTATAATCTAGTTTTCATCAGAAATAAATTTTAAATTTATCAATTGGCTATAAACAAGTTAATAAATATCAGTAAGATGTATACAGAAGCAAATTCTTCGGATAAATACGAGAGATATGTGTATGGATAGATGCTGGTGTTGATGTCAGATGCATGGAAATGAGATACAGAAGATCTTTACCAACAGCCACACAATCTTGAATTTGTGTCTAGTCAGCAGAAAATTTTCAGACCTGCGTCGATCAGGCGCAGCTCGGGAAACATCCCGACAGACTCTACAATGGAATAGCTTGTGCTTAGATGACAAGTTACATGGCCATATCAGTTTACGATATACCTTATAGTTCAAGCAAATGCTGATTGTTTGTTTAGACTATCAATTCGATTAACCGGTAGCATGATATTGGAACAGATAATGCACATGTAAAAACAAAAAAAGATCAAAATCAGATTTCTTTCGTCGTACTTTACAAAAGGAAAAGTCTCTATTTAGTATTATTTGATTCTATCGTATATAAACAAATACAAAAGTATAAATGATCAAATATTTAATTGATTTTAATGTTACAAAATTTTTCACTGGATTATTGTATTATTAAATATTTTCTTTAAAATAATGTAAATTGTATGATTTCAAATAAAATAAAAGTTAGTCATGTTATTAGTATGATTTAATTGAAATTTTGTCTATTGAATAGAAAATAGTCTAACTATTTGCGATCATTTTGGAATAATATCATAATGAATTCGAACACCATAATAATTCATGTCTGGTGTAGATCGAAATTTGACAACAATTTGATAATTTGAATCTGAATCAAGAATAAGTTTGTTGTCCGTTGTTGTTACTTCAATTTCTTGATTCTCTAACATTCGATAGACATTGGAAATAGACGGTGCCAAAGATTCGTTATCGATACTAACGGCATATGGTTGTCGTTTCTCTGTGAAAGGTGTTTCAATAATCAAAGTGAGTACATCAACTGGATAAGACCAAAAGAACTCTACCGAAGTACTTGATTTTATCAATTCGGTATCGGCCAATTTGAGTACCTGCGGACTACCATCATTTGGAAAGCTTACTGTAGCCTTGCCGGGTTCACTGATATGTAGGCAAGCATTATGCGTTTCGTCGGTGGCAAGCATTACTCAACCACTATAAAAATATTCAAATAATAGAACAAAAAGCAACGAAGCAAGCAATAATTTTTTTTTTTCATCGGTGTTTGACTGACGATTGTAAACGTTACCTTGATGCATTTTTATACATACCATCGTCAATCACATCATGTGAGCCCGTAAGTAAAGAGAACAGATAAAAGAATTGCATCACATGTGACCAATTATTCAGCTCCTTTTTATCAAACAATTACTAAGGCTTATTTAATCATCACTTGTTGACGCCATACACTGGTAAACAAATTGTTCATGAATGAAGAAACCTAAGAACTTCTTCTTCTCTCTTTCTGTATCTACCACTTGCATGGGTATGAGAGTAAATATCAATCTGAAGATGAATCTACAAATGTCAAATAACTGCATATATTGAGGTAGTAGGCTAATATATATCGTCGATTATAATAATCATAGATGTCACAGTAATCTTGGGTACGTGAGCTGAAAAATGTGTCGACACTTTCTCACGATGTATTGATACATTTCGCCATAACTTGATGAATGTATATATCTGACTCGATGTGTTCTACCGAAACGCCATGCAATCTCATGTCCGTGCAATTCCTTAATGACAAATGTATATACTACTCTGTATGAAAATTTCCTTTCAACAATACATCTTTCTTTTACGTTTAGATCACTGATCGAATTGCAGTCTTGTAATTATTTTCTCTAAAAGTACGATGAATGGGATTCCAGATTTTGAACATGTAGCAATATGCTAGATTGATTCTTTGATTTTCATCGATCAACCTGATGATTTTCATCATGTTAGATAAATCGAGTGTCAATTCTATCTTTATGATACTCAGAGTATGGGCTGTAAATTTATTTCTCTTCACATTAACATCAATATCAACACTCTTGTTCTATGTATATATCCAAGGATCATTTAGTGAATACATAGTTATAAAGCTAAAAATTTATCGTTTCTTCTTTCATTTATTATTCGAGATCGCCAAGATCAGTTCTATTTCCAATCTGAGCTCCAAAAATTTTATTCTTTTTTTGTTAATGACAATTTCGGATAGAAAAAAATCCTTGCTCTATTACTGAAATGTCGTTTCTAAAATACAATAAAGTTTTTCGAACAGCCCAGTTTCAGGAGCTGAACTGTTGGAATAGATCAGTTCCTATCAGAAGGATTATTTTGCTATCACAAAGCGCTTCTCTACAGAAGTCAACAACACATTTCTTATAAATACGTATCAACCACAAATGTAGTTCATACAGTGAGCCTTGATAACCCGTACCGTTGTAAATGATTTTCGAAAAACTTCGTATTCATTTTTAAAACTCAGCATCAAAAATCAAGTTTTCAAGGTAAGCTACCGAATAAAAGTTCAAAATGATGTCTTCATAAAAACTAGTGGTGCTACAACACTACTATTACTTTTTATAGTAATTTAGTCCATTTTATAAAAATGTTGTACAAATATAGATTTATAAAATTTTAGTTGTTAGCAATATTTTGATCATATTTATATATTAAGATCAAGTAAAAAGGATGTCCGAAATTATTAAAATATTTCTGAATTAATAGATGATCAATTTCTTCGTGACGGAAGAAAGAATAATTTTTCTAAATTCTTCTACTCTATACAAACAACTTTATTCTTTAAGATGATGTCTTCTATAATTATTCTTTTAGTCCTACTTTTTAATTATCATTTCTCTTCTAGACATGTAATTTATGAAAAAAAAAGACTATATGTGAAGTGATTTCAGAGGAAAACTCGATTCAAAACATCAATTTGTACAAATGAACAGTTTTTTTTTTGTTTCTTTTTCGATTATGATATATGAACAAAATCACTTCTATTATCGATATAGTGAATGATAATAATCGATCATAAAATCACGATTTATCACAAAAATCTTTAGAATCATTAGAAAAAAATCGGCGATTTATCGCGTTCCATCTTACGATTATCGTTTTGATATATCGTGATTAATCGTCAATTTTTTTTTACGATTTTGGAAACATGGGAATTTATTTGTACGATTGAAATAAGATAGTAGGTCAATGTCGAATAAAGGTCATCGATCTGACCGTTTACGATGCTTGACTCCATCATTTAATATCAACAAGAATTTTTCATTAAATTAATTAGATAAAAGAGCAAAATTAGAGATATTTTATCTTCTAATCTGCCGTTTCTTCGATTAATCTTCTGTTATTTCAAAGAAAAAGCAATAAAACAGAGAATATTCTATAGACACTCTTTTTTTTTTTGATTTAATAACTGTTTGTGAAATGTAATCAAAAATGTCAACATTACAAATAATATCTAATATGAGAAAAAATTTGCACTCTAAACGCATGTACTGTTATGATACAAACAAGATCGATTTTTTTTTTGTAGTAACCTTCGTTTTGGAAACAAAATACGAAATATTTTTCATTAGAGATAAATATAAATTCTTGTTTTGTACTCAGTCAATGCTTACTATTTCCGATTATATTGTAAACGAGTAAAACTTTTCTTCGTGTCAATCCAATAGCATTTACATATTTTTTTTTTCGAGATTTTTCTATCAATATCTTAGCACTTCACTTTCAGATAAAGCAAATGAGAGTGAACGCTTGTCTAGTGTCAATAACATGGGATCATATACTATTCAACGATAAGTTCCACAAATCTCAAAAACAATATTCTCTTTATGATCTTTCTTAAAGTATCAAGTTCCGTCATAAAAGATGTTTATCTTAGCTTCTATTCTTTTTCTTTATATTTAAAATCTGTGAAAGTTCAATAGACTTTTTTTTCTCTCTCTCTCTCTCTCTCTCTCTCTTCATTTATTTGAATAGGAAACATCGAAATTCTTCTATTTGTAATACTCTATATGCTACTTGAGTTAATAAAATATATCATTTCTATTGATGATCCATAGGCTGAATAGTAGAATTTCTCATAGCATGCCTCTTGACAAATATTCTCATATTTAATTATAGAACGATATTAAATGCAAGAAAAAAAAATCAATACATTTCGATAATACATCGACAATAGCTATTGGTATAATGTCCAAATGATGATATATTATGTAAAGAGTATTAAGAAATCTTATTTTGTTTTTTTTTGTGTCATTCGAAGAAAGAACAAAAAAAAAACAGAAATTTAATTTTGATCTCGTGTCATATTGATTCAATGTCATTGATTCATACATCATAGCATGTCAAGAAGAAAATTGCTCTTTTGCTTAGAGAAAACGATAAAGAAATGACTCGTACTTGCTCTATTCTCTTGTGTCTTTCATCGTGACGAAAAAACAAAATATTGTCTCTTCGATAATCAATCAGTAAAGTGGATGAACGCACATAAAAGAAATGAGAGTACTAGTAGAATGATAATGGATTAAACAGAAAAGAAAAATGTTGCGTGCAGAACGCAATAGTAACAATAAGATTCGTAATAGTATCAACAAGATTTCTCTCTC